GGTAATTTATCGTTTTGGAGGCTATCTGGAATAGACTTCATTTTCTTAAGAGATATTTCGCCCTCACAAGGCTGCTTTTGTTCTTAAGATAATTTTGGTACGTTTAAATTACCTATGTTTCAATGTTTCACCAAATTTGCTGTCCGTATCTGTATTTTGTGACTTATAGAGACTGTGGTAAAAGCGTTTCTGTTCTTCAAGTATTTTGAAGGGATCAGATATAATAGCGCCACTTGTAAGTACTTTTCTGCTATGTTTTTTAGAGTTGTTTCGGTTTTCTAAAGTTAAAAAGTGTTTTGTACTTCTCTCTCCGTGTTCACGCCAACGAGCTCTTGCGCGGATTATGATATCTTTTGTTTCTTCATCATAAAAACGTTCAAGAAGGATCTTCTTCGTATTGCTTTATTGCTTCTTTATAAGCTGGTGGCAAAAGTTTTTCCTTTGCGTTTCGTTTCTTGGCCTTCCGTTTAAAATAAGAAATGGCGTGATTTCGGATGTTGTATTTCAGCCAATCCCAGACGGAGGGCTTATTCGATAAATAATTTACGCCCGTTGTCTTCCATTCTGGAAAGTTATTCTCTAACTCATTGGGATAGTTTTCCGCATCATCAAGAAGAAATACATTCATATTCCAGAAGCCAGAACCTTTATCGCTTTGATACGAGTCGGTTCAAGCAAGCTCACTTGCTGCGTGATCTGTTTTTATCGCTGGAGTAATATCAGTTGATATAACAAAATCCTGTAGGTTGGTGGAAACTAGCCAGTAGTCCAAACGAGAGAATATTTGCGGCAATCTTTGGCTCCAAGTGTAACTTTTAGTCCGAGGATTTTTTATTGTCCAAATATCTACTAAATCTAACTTGTTTTGTAAACATTCAAGACTATCTATTAACATTTTCCTTGGTACAATTACACCACCCTTTTTATCAAGCTTTGGATTTAGAGAGCAATTAAAATTTTCCCTACAGATAATATTTTTCTTTACGATCTAAATTTTCTGTTTGCAACATTTTACGTAAATTTTTGAAAAATTTGCACATTATTTTGCCTTTGTTTGGTGCGTAAATGTTTATCAAGATATAAACTTTGACATCAGTTTCTACCTTTGGAGCAATGAAACACCCTGCCCTGAGGGATCTGCGATAGCCTTATGACTTGTGCAATGTAATCTATTCCCAATCAACCCCATGACTCCACAAAAATTTGGGCTTCCATGTGAATGATAAATATTCCCACACCATTCGTTTCTCCCTTGCTCTTCTGATTCCTCCCTTGAGTGCGTCTCTTGAAGGAATACAAATCTACTTTTCTTTTGCGACACCATGTGAACATAGACCTACGTTTGTGGAAATTATTTATGCCCCTTACGTTCAAGGAAACTAATTTAAAGTTTGCTATCTATGATCGTTTTGTAGTTTAACAAATCTCTCCTTTAAAGTATCGAGTAAAGATATGTTTCTCCTCCAAACAAAACTTTAACTTACATATAAGAAACAAAACACACTCACAAAATTACGTAACTAAACAGAAAGTCTGTTATTTACCAGACGTGCTTTCCGACTTCAGTCAATCATATTATCACAGTAGGGGAGTTTCTTGGTTTCCTTCTCTCTGTAAATATGCCCATCAATAATTAGTTTGTCGAAATTGAAGTAAGCTCTTTACTGTGCCTTCTTTGAAACAGAGTAGAGCGTTTTATGGATTTCTTCAATCTCCCTCAGGAAGTCGTTTGCGATTCCAACAACAGTTCCTTTTAAGTTCCCATAGAATGAACGAACAAATTCTTCATCTTGGTAGAAGCTAAACCTTGCAATCACTGGTCTTGGACGGCTTGAACTCCGATCTGGTGCCCTACTCGGAATCCGGTGTACTCTTTCAAAGCGAATATTTTTAACATCTTTATTCGGAATTTGCAATTTCGTAACAAACAGCTTTCTTATCAGTTCTTCGGTATTTTCCACTGATTCTTCTTTGACGTTGAAGATTTTTATGTTCTCGCGCCGCGTGTAGGCTTCTAACTTGATATTTCAAAAAAAATTCAATGTCTTCACTGTGTTCTTTAATTGTCGTGATTGTGTCCGTCATTTTTCCTCTAAGGCGTTCAATCTCCTTCTCAGCAAACTCCTGTGAGTCCTTCAAACCTTGCAATACACTTATTTCGTTCTTTAGTGATTCAATTTCCCTGCAAGCTGCAAGAAGTTCGTATAGTTTCGCTTTCGCGTTCGCGAAAATTTGTCACTCCTTTGTTTAGAATTTTAAGAAGTTTTGGAGTTTTTATTTCAGCCAAATGTTGTGGTTCATTTAACAAGTTAAATACATATTTCCTAGGCCAGCCTCTTTTTTCTTACATGGATTTTTTACACTCAGAAACTATCCTATCATCATTAACCCACCCCCTTATTCCCTAGCTCCACCCCGAGAAAAGCTATTGGGAACAAGAGGAATCACAGATCCATGGACAACGAGTATTTCTTTTCAAAACAACGCCTTTGATAGACGTCAATTGACATTTGAAAGCCGGCAATTGACTAGCCTGCAGGGCAGGCGTAATTTAGGCTAGCGAGTGCTAAGTAATTGCATAACGAATACTATGGCCGCCATCTTTGATTTTATTGGCAGCGGAAGGCTGGGGAGAGGAAAAATTTATACCAAGGGAACCAAGTGGACAATCAGATGATGCTACTCTGGTTTGCAGATTTAATGAATGTAACAGAAGAAGTTACAATTCCTAGACCCAACGTTTCGACACTCCTGTCTAGTGCCTTCATCAGGGGTGATCTAAACGCTGCAACAAGAGGTCCTTTTATATGACCAGAGTCCGCATTGCTAAGTATCGCTGTTATTTGTATTTCAATCACCGTTGTAAAGAAAACTATGTGCTTCCATCGAGTTTGAGATTTCGGCCTCCT